TATAAAACAAAATATTATATAAAAAAGAATATGCAACGTGGACGCAGTGGGGCACACACCTGTCATCCCAGCAGCTGGGGAGGCTGAGACAGGAGGATCGTGAGTTCAAAGCCAGCCTCCGCCAAAGCGAGGCCCTAAGCAACTCAGTGAGACCCTGTAGCTAAATAAAACACAAAATAGGGCTGGGGACGGGGCTCAGGGGTTGAGTGCCCCTGAGTTCAATCCCTGGCATGCAAAAATAAAATAAAATAAGATTTTTAACCTATTATAGCTGATCTTTATATATCATATATAACGTATTTTGCATATTTCATATATTTTTGCAGGTGCAAATTTCCAGATTTGGTTTTCTGCAGCCCCCTCCCACAGAAGGCTCAGAGATCAAGCCAGCCCCCGCCGTTACCGTGACAGTTTGTTTAGCGCATCTGGACATTGGACTCTGTCACGATTTCTTGCTTCATGTTGGTGAAGAAAGATTAAAAAGTTGGCTTTCCTAGTTTCAAAATCTGTATGCAAGAGCCACCTCCCATCATCATTTTGCAAAGGTCAGTTTGACAATTATTCTATTTTTTGCCTTTTGAAAAACTCTCTGTTTTAACAAGCTTTATCTTGAGAACGGCTTTAGAATAAAAGAGAAAAAAAAAATTCTGTGCATCGTCGAGACGGGGGCTGCCTACGGATCTCTCAGGGCGGCTGATGGGTAGCATCTTTCTATCAATATCGTGTCGTCTCGAGAATCCGCCACCCGACGTGGACATTTTAGAGATGTTGAGCAAGATCCGCACCCGAGTCCCTCGTTTTTATATTTTATTCATTTATTCTGAACCCCGGGCCTTGCACACGTTAGAAAAGCACTTTAATATTGAGCTTGATTTCTAGTCCTTCTTTAAATGTTTTTTTTTTTTTTTTGATAAAGAGTCTTGCTAAGTTGCTTATCTCGTGCCTCAGTTCACCAGGTAGCGGAGATTACAGGGATGCACCCCTATACCCCGGCTGCCTTGCTGAATTTTGACCTAATGTCCTTCATGTGGTCCACGTAGGAGTCCATAACACACAAAGGCACCAAGAGTGCATCAACTGGAACCTCTGAAACTGTGAGCCCCAAACCGACCTTTTTACTTTATAACTTGATCTTCTCTGGTATTCGTTATAGTCACGCAAAGCTGACTGACACCGTCAGGGTGAAATGATCTTCTGGGTACGAGATTCCCTCCCCGTCTTGAAACAACAGTCGATAGTTCTGTCGTGTCTTCAACGAAGCGATCGTGGTCTGTTAGTGATTTTACTTCAGTGGCGACTGGGCGTCAGATTGATGATGCTCAACATTCTTTGCCATTAAGTATCCAATTAAGTAGAAAGCCCCAGCCGTACGCATTTTCTATTTTTCCTGCAAAATTCAAGGCTAACTGTGAGACCTGCATTTCCATCGTGATCAACTTATCAGCTAATCGCGTGGCTCTAAGTCATTCGCTCTATTTCTCCCATTTATGATTCTTGCATGAGTTTCCGGTGACAAAGTCTCAGTCCTAACCACTGCTTAAATTCTGCAAGAGGCATTCGAGAAATTCGGACCCCTTCCGTATTATTCAGGGCGCTTCCTGTGCAAGATTCATAAACCAATTGGAACCCACTGAAGTTAAAGAAAACCCGAGGGCGGATCGGCTCCAGGATAAGAGGTACCCAAGAGGTGTCAAGGACGGGGTAACGGGGGATCAGAAAAGCTGTCTAAAGTCCCAAGACGTCCAATGATTCCCCGCCAAAGACATGGCCATGTCCTGACGCCCAGCATCTGTGAATCCAGCCGTCTTTGGAAACAGGGTCGTTGCAGATCCAGCCAAGCAAGTTGAGAGGAGCGCATCACGGCACAGCGGGGTCTCAGTGCCATCCTAAGTGGCCTTATGCCCCAGGTTTTCAAGGGCTGGTTATCTACAGTGCACACTGGCACAGGGGCTCCACCTTGGGCCACTCAACATGACCACGGGATCAAAGTCCCGTCGTGGGGGCGCAGCCTCTCCCAATTTCATTGTGCAGCGACGTCACCAGATGCCGGAGAGGCTGCCCCAAACTGTCCTCCGGGGGATGCCCCCCAAACTTACAGACTCGGAAGGCGTCACCAGATAACTATTAAACGCCGACTGCATACCTTCGGAGAGGCAGCCTGTGACTTTGCACTTTTTAAAAAAATAGTTTAAAATTTGTTCTAATGAGTTCTACACGGCACTAGAATGCACTTGGACCCATCTTAGTATCCTTCCTACCCCCATTCCCCTCCCTTCCCTTCAGTCCCCTCTGCCTAATCCAAAGTACCTCTATTCTTCCCTGGCCCCCACCCCATTTATTGTAAATTAGAATCTGCTTATCAGAGAAGACATTTGGCCTTTGGTGTTTGGGGATTATCTTATTTCACTTAGCCTGATACTCCCCAGCTCCGCCCATTTTCTAGCAAATGCCATCATTTCATTCTTCTTCATGACTGAGTAATATTCCATTATATATATATATATAT